TCCCCCAGCCACCACCCCAGCCCCGACTCCAAAGACTAAGAAATCAGTAGGCTCAAGAGTGCTGTTAGGGACCGCTCCCACCGTTAGGGATCTGAGCAGCCCAGGCTTTATGCCCCTGTTCCCTCCCCCCACCCCGCCCCTCTCCTCCACCCCACTCGATCTGTGTATCTGAGATAACTGGTTTCTTGCAAACGTATCGGTCAGAAAACAAAACAAAACAATGTATCTATATACCATTCTCTGACTCTTTTTCCATGGGTGTGATCTGGCTTAGAAAACGATAAGGAATATTTTCCTGACAGACTTGAAAACTAGGGTCTTCCTCACACGTCTGTAAATAACTCTGGAATCCAACTGGGCACATTCTAGTGTGGAACAAAAATAGATGAACACAAGTGCTTACTTGTGGATACCATCTTACCAACGGATCACAATGTTTTCTTTTCTGGTGTACTCTTGTCGACAGGGATTGTGTACTGTTTTAGACCCAAGTACTGTTGTATCCTGTGTAGTACTAGTTCTGTATCTCTTGTCTGAATTCAACATTTTTAGTTGCTGTGTAAATGTTAGGAAGCAAAGTAACTTTGAATTTTCTCTTTAAGAGAACAAAAGATAATGTATTTTGTTTATTTCACGTTTTATTTGGTGATATTTAAAAGAACTAGAAAGCCATATAATATAGCTATAATTACTACCTGTTTGCTATTTTTGTTTAACTTATTTTGTAGCTTCCTCACTTTAGTTTGAGTTGCTAAGCAAATGTATACAACCAGGAAAAAAGAGCTTCCTAAGTTGCACATTTTTGCACCTCTTGTGCATTCTGCAAGGAGACAATGAATCCATGTATTTCTACGTAATTATCTTTTTCATTTTTAACCTGTTTCATTTGTAATGATGCTACATAATTTTGTGGCTCCCTGATGCAATAATGTACAGAAGATAAAAAATTTATAATTGAACAATTTGTCTTTCTGTTCACCGAATATATTGCAGGTCATGCTCCCATGCCCCCCTTTCTAAACTGGTATCAACAAGACTGGAATGTTTGTGGTATCAGGGGCAAGAGGTATCATAAAACAACAAAATAGAGTGAACTCTTTTAGAGCATCTATATCTGCAATCTGTAAATGGTAAAATGTCTGTGTATTTTTTTAAATGTATCTTTTCAATAAAAGTACAAAAAGTAAAAGCCTGTTTGTGTTTTCAAAGTTACTTTCTCCTGAGATGCCTTCAATTTGAAATCATCTGATGAACAATTTTCAGTAGGTGCAAAGATTGCTCCTTACGTATTTAGCATTTTCAGCTCTTATTTGAAGCATTTTTATTTGTCATGTTTATTCATTACTGTTCACAGCATCTGTGTGAGGCAAGACTTTACTGCTCTTTTCCCTCTGAATCCCTAAGAAGTCGGGCCAAGTTGTGAGTGTAGCCCTAAATCACAGTAGTAGCCTGATAAAAATTTGTGACTCTGATTTTTTTTTTTAACTTTCTCTAAGTCTTCTAAATCCCTAACCCATCTTTCATTTGTGTCCAAGGCATTTATGATCTCCTTCTATTCCACTCCTCCCATCAGTCCACCCCTTTTTCCTTCCTACCTCATTCTCTTTTTAAGTGTAAAGATCAATACATCACTATTTGTTCTGGTTACCTGCTTAACGAACTACTTCAAAACTTAATGGCTTAAAATAACAACCATCTTATATCATGATTTCAGAGGTCAAGAATTCCAACCAGGCTTGGCTGGGCTGTTCTTCTGTTCGAGGAGGCATCAATATGAAGTCCCTTGGTAATACTTGGGGGAGGGGCGGTGTCTGGAGGCCCAAGATGGCTTCACTCACAGGTGTGCCTGGATGGTGGCTGGAAGGCTGAACTCCATTGGAACAGTTACCAGAAGACCTACACATGGCCTCTCCAGCTACGTGCTCTTAAGCAATGACATAGTAACTCAGGGCTCCCAGAGAGAGAGCATTCCAAGAGGCCTGGGTGGAAGTCAAAAAGCTTTTTATAAAATTGTCTCAAAACTCCCAGCATGTCACTTACGCTGCATTCTATTCATCAAGCAAGTCACTAAGGCCAGTCCAGATTTGAGGGGAAGGAAAGTATTCACTTTTCAATGTGAAAAAGAGCAAAGAATTTGTGGCCATCTTTAATCTACCACTCTGTTACAGAACTTTGAGGGGAGTGGTAACAAAGCTATGATAGAGCCCCTCTTCCCCCACCGTAAGCCCAAACCATGCCAATTCTTTAAAAGGAGAGGAATGGGGGTGGGGTAGGACCTAAACTCTCCTTTCTAAAAAGTTAAGGCTAGTGGCTGGCAGTGCAGCTGTGCTCAGCGGCAGTAGGCTTCCTTTATCAAAGAGTTTATCCAACTGTTGGAAAATTGTTGACCTTAATATTCTAGGCGTATAATCAGGTTAGTGTTAGAGTCTATTAAAATTCCAGTTTGACATTCAGACTTTGTTTGTTTTACTATGAGTCATTTCAACTTTATACTAGTTACACTAAACCTTGGTTGGACCTTCAGACATGGCTTAGAAACGTCATGCTCTGAAAGAAATGTGTTTCCGTGTAACACTTTGGAGAAGTTTTGTTTTTTTTTTTTTATTCTATCATGAACTCCAACGGCAATTATATTTCATTTCTCTTGTATATCCTCCATCTCATTAATGTTCACTGCCATCCTCAAAAATTTTTAAATGTCAGTATTTAAATAGACCCAGGAACCTACTGATTAGACTTATAGATTAAGATTTTGAAAAACCACCTCAGGGAAGAAGTACAAAAGAATAGCAATTAATTAAAATGCATGCCTCCAGGGATGCCTGGGTGGCTCAGTTGGTTAAGCGTCTGCCTTCAGCTCAGGTCATGATCCCAGGGTCCTGGGATCGAGTCCCACATAGGACTCCTTACTCAGCAGGGAGCCTGCTTCTCCCTCTGCCTGCTGCTTCCCCTGCTATGCTTTCTCTCTCTCTGTCTCTGACAAATAAATTTAAAAAAAAATAATAATAATAAAAATAAAATGCATGACTCCAAAAGTAGCCATGAGGAGCTTCAAGTAATGACATACACAACACTATTAAACAGATACAGCTTATCCAACCTGATTCTGAGGTAGCGCAGTGGGTCAGTCCTAAGCAGATGTGCATGTTGGAACGAATAGCCCTTCCTGCGCCATTTTTAGTGGGGAAAGACTACCACTCTACCCCTCCACTTACTGGGAAAGTTAAAAAATGTACTGTTTACTCTGACATAGTCCAGCTCTGGTCTCTGTAGAATATGTAAATTGATCTCAGACAGGATTGCCAGATAAAATATAAAACACCTAAACAAATTTGAATTTCAGGTCAACAATGAATAATTTTTAATAGAATATTTTAATAATTTTAGTAAGATGTTGCACATGGTATAAGCACATTCCAGAAGTAAGTGTGCAATTTTGGGATGTACTTATACTAAAGAATATTTGTTGTTTATCTGAAATTCACATTTAAGCCTGTATTTTTCCTTGCTAAATCAGGCAACCCTTGTCTCGGGAGCATTCCTCTTCATCTCAAGTACCATGATTCTTCAGGAAAGAAGTGACCCCTGGGTTTTCACCACCAAATAACAAGATTTTGAAGGCGCATTGTTAGATGCACTCACCAAATAGGCAGAGGAAGGAACTTGCAGTAAATCAAAGTCAATGATATATTGACATTGGATGGGACCAGGGCACGGGGAAAACGTAGCTACAGATGCCCCTTACTGAAAGCCACACTGACAGCTGCTTAACAAAACTAAACTGTTGTAAAAGCAAAAAACAGAATTTTCATTTGTGTTATGCACCAAACATACCACCCCTGATGTGCTCCTTCTCTGCCCTAAGAGAATGCCTATATTCTGGGGGCAGAAATGGTTGTATTTGTGTAGAATTTTTCTCTCAGAAAGTGCTAGAAGGAGAACTACACCACAGTTGATATAGCTGAAAAAGAGAACCATGGAAATTCCCACTGGAAAAAAAACTAAGGAGACAGAGCTGATAGAGCATCAGGTGGAAATCGTGTTGTGCTAACACTCCCTTCAGGAACCTAAAGGGACTCACTGAAGAGGTTGAATTTGGGAATGTTTTGAGAAATGGGCACCCACTGCCCGGGGTGTGATCAGAGAGAAGGATGATGGCAGGAGGGGAGAGATGACCAGGAACCCTTTGACAGATAAAGTCAGCATCAAGACGTACACCCTTGGTAAGCACGAGCTTCTTTTGGTAACAGGCAGAAGGACTTCATTTCACCTCTGTAGGCCTGCTAGGCGGATTCTGGCCTCTCTTCAGTGTTCCTTCCACCAGATCTTGATTTGGTTAATATGATGGCCCTCTGGTAACATCAGAGTTGACATGGCCTCTTTGGGAAAATCTTAGTTTTGATACTTCAGTGGGCTGAGGAGGAGCTATGGAGTGTAAGAGCAAATTCCACAGGGGATGATCATCTCTGCCTCCTTCCTTTCTCCAGGTAATTAGCTCCATGGGGGAACTCATCAGGGGCCTGATGCAGGCTCTCAGCAGCAATGGAGCGTGACTGTAGGGAAGTGGCCTGATTTCTTTGGCTAAAATGTCTAAAGCGAGAGTGTCAATACAATGTATTCTACTCACTAAGTGCTCAAGCTGCATCAACCTCTGGTTGTCAGATCACTTCTGTGAGTACAGTGACAATATCTTCATGTCATATTCATTTTAAGAAGTCACTTATCTACAGATGATTGGACAAGCTAGTCATTAAGCACCTCCTTTTCATTTTTATTAGAGTGAAAAAGTAAAATTAGGATGGAAGAGAATTAAATAAGAACAATACACAATTTGGGGCTCCTGGGTGGCTCAGTCGGTTAAGCGGCTGCCTTTGGCTCAGATCATGATCCCGGGGTCCTGGGATTGAGCCCTGTGTCTGACTCTCTGCTCGGCGAGGTGTCTCCTTCTCCCTCTCCCTCTGCCTGCTTGTGTGCTCTCTCTCTCTCTAATAAATTTTTTTAAAAATCTTAAAAAAAGGAACAATACACAATTTGCATTCAAAAGACATGAATTCAAATCCTTGTCATCTGTTTCTTAGTTCTGTGATTTTATGTCATTTTCCCAGAGCCCCAGTTTCTCACACATATAAAACAGATATCACGGTACCAAACTCACAGGGTGGTTCTGAGAAGCAAATAAAACAAAGCATGTAAAATGCCACTGCAAATCATAGCTTGCTATGCAAATTTTCACCTGTGGATAAATGAAATTTTTTTTCTCATTTTTAATTTTTAAATTTTAAGTAAATTCCCTCAAATTAACCCCAATTTTGAGTCTTTAGCATTAATCTAGACTCTAGAAAAATATACCTGTAATGGAAAAGAAACAGTAAATTCATTAGTTGTAAGTTTATGTTCCTACTCACAAGGATATAATTCAAATAAAAGTAATACCAAGATAACAGAACAAAGTAAATGTAAAGTGTTTGCATATCACAATATATTTGAATTTTATGTCTTATATTCCATATAACAAAAATAGAGTTTCAAGTTGTAAAAAATCAAAAACTTCTTTATGTTGCAAAAAAAATTACTACTACAGTTATAAAAAATAAAATTTCTTTCTGATGTAAAAAAACTAAAAATCACTATAAAGGGAATTAAACATAGAAGAAAAACTAAAAAAATTTTATAATCCATATGAAATATATAATTTCATATCCTTATTATACAGAAAACTCATAAAATGGGATGGGGGAACTCTTCCAGAAAAGAA